CTCTCTCTCTCTCTCTCTCTCTCTCTCTCTCTCTCTCTCTCTCTCTCCCCCCTCTCTCTCTAGCAAAAATTGAAAAAAGATAAGTCAACTAAAAAATAAAACAAAATCAGTAAGATATAATACCAAGCCCAACCAAAAAGTACATGAGCATGCTTGTACACACACACACACACACACACACACACACACACACACACACACCAAGAAGTCTCTTGTGTTTGCCAGCTACTCCTGGGCATGGGGCCTACCCTGAAGTATGGTTGATATACCAAGTGCCACACACAGCTTGGGAGGAAACTGATTTTACCTTTCCCACGGGTATCTATTACAGATAGACTCTTGGGACTCTTGGTTAGAGGTGTGATATTGTATCCTCTTCCTTTCTCAGTGCTGGGATTTTATCTGGTTTGGACCTGTGCGGGTCTTCTGCATGCTGTCGAAGGTCTGTGAGTTCATAAGTGCATCAGTCCTGTTATGTCTGGAAGACGCTCTTTCCTTGGAGTCACCCGCACCTCTGGCTCTTTCAGTCTTCTGGCTCCTCTTCTGCATAGATCTTAGAGTCCTGGGAGAAGGGGTTTGGTGAAGACAAATAGGACCAAGTGCTCCCAAGCCTCACTCTCAGTATTGTCCAGTTGTGGATCTCTGTGTCAATTCCCTTCTATTTCAGGAAGTTTCTCTGGTGAAGGCTGAGCGATACTCTAATCAATGGCTATAGAAATATGCCATTTTATTGCTATACTAGGACTAAACTTCTTAAGGCCAGGACCGATACTTTTCCTATTTGAAATCCATAAGGTTTCTCACATGATGGGATCTTAATGAATACTTACGGAGAGGTGCTCCTGCCAGTGGACACTCAAGAGGGTATTAGTGTGGGACTTGACTGGAGTGGATAAAAAGCAGGGTGACCATGGAAGGCACTCACAGTTAGATGCCAAAGGCCTTAACCACACAGCCTGTTGTGTTCTTCCAAAAGCGTAGCTTTGCATCTTAGCTAACACTACCTGATGGCTCTAATACTCAATTGCTTCATCTCTAATTTGAAAATTATCATTGCCATCACCCCTTACATAATTATGCTGTGAATTGAACAAAACTGGGAAGCTGGCTTTAGTGACTTCTGTGGAGAACAGAAAAAAAATTTGAGTCTGTGTTCAGCAACCCCAGGGAGAAGAAAATATATCCTGTTCCATAATTGGAAACAGCATGTGATACTCTGCATCCAAATGCTAGCTCCCTTCCCTAGGATGAAGCAGGTTCTGCTACTTGTACCAATGCATGGCTCAGGCACTAAAGGGCCTGCTCAATGCCAGGCATTTTTCCATGCTTAAAGCAGAGTAGCTTCTGTGGGGTCTCCTCTCTCAGTGTGCCCAGAGCTCAGCACGTTTCTCCTTATGAAGAAGGAGAATCGCACATACCATCCCCTACCATGCAATGCGTACACCCACTTTCCCACTTACACAGTGTAACATGAGGGGCCGGCTTGTTGGGGTTTCTGTCCCGCCCGGCACCCCAACAAGTTGGCAAGTTCCAAAGAAAAATCACATACAGGACTCCATAAGGTTATAAACTGATTGGCCCATTAGGTCAGGCTACTTATTAGCTCTTATAACTTATGTTACCCCATTATCCTTATCTATGTTAGCGCATGGCTCCGTACCTTTCTCAGCAGGGCAAGTTACAGGCTGCCTCTTCAGTGGTCTGCACAGGAATGGCTGAGGAAGCTTTCTCCTCCCTAGCCTTATCCTATTCTCATTGCTCCACCTCTACTTCCTGTCTGGTTGACCCGCCTATATTTCCTGCCTGGCCAATCAGCGTTTTATTAAAATACATGATTGACAGAATACAGATAATTCTCCCACATCAACACAGTGTTATAGAAAGAAAAGACTTTGGCTCTAAATAGAATCTGATTGGTTTCCAAGGAGTTCTGCAACATTTACCATAGGGACTGTGCATATATGATGCCGACTCTTTAAGATAATGGAAGAAGGTTCTGGACAAATTTTACCAAGGCATAGTGATGGAGCCAGCCCTTGAGATGAGGGTCTCTTCTGCCCATGAAGCTTTCCCACTTGTTCTTTACAATTGCAATGATGCACTGAGTCTAAGGGTCTGCTCTCCATGTGGTTCTCTCGAATGCTCAGCACATGGATACATCACCTCCATTTTTGAGAAGACATGACCAGGATTTGGCAATGTCTGTTGACCCCCATACCAGAGGTCACACATCATTTATAGACATCAGCATTCTTTCTCTAATTGACATGTACCTTCCCTAGATAATTGTATTCGTGACAACTCTATCTATCTATCTATCTATCTATCTATCTATCTATCTATCTATCT